ACACACACACAATCAGAACAGTGAAAATGACAAAATCTAATTAACAACTTATGGGTTAAAAAAAATAGCCCTTTAGAAGGGCTCTACTGAAAGCAATGAAAAACTAGAACACTAGGTGAGTCAAGCATATGACAGTACTGTTTTCACTGTAATTACAGTCATATATTATAGCCCCCCTCTGTTAAACTGGTATAATTTACATATATCTTCATGCTCTTAAAGAAGATCTTCCTAAAATGTCATCAAAAGATTGCTTGAAATAAATAAAACCTACTGAGGATTTCCAGTTGGTCCCAGGTTGATGTTCTGTGAGGTAGAGTGTAGCTGTTTGAATGGGGAGAAAAAAACAATAGCATTCTTATTGGAGTTTCAAAGATTATCAGTCAATTATTATAGCTATCAGTATATGTTAAAGAAACTTTATTATAAAGTACAAAATTCTTAATAACTGCACATATATATTTGGGAACAATATAAATAATCATTTTATCATAACTTTCAAGAGCAGTTGTTAAGGAAAAAGGTAAGCCAAAAATCAATCATAAAGTTGGCAAATGAATGCAGTAAAAGCAAAGAAAACTGCTTGGAAGAGATGGGCACTGAAACTATAATTTAAGAGGAAATCCTTTTCACATTTTGAAAACTGGTTTAAAAAGGCTATTTGTTTTTCAAATTTTTAAATAGTTCATTAATAATACAGAAAGTGATAGGATGATGGCAATGATGACTATCAATATTGGGTTTTCAGTTTTAATTTGATGATCAGTAAATTGATATCTAAAGCAAATACAGACAACAATATTTTTCTGATTCCAGCATCACAGTTTTAGCAAAATTTTAAATAGGCCATTCTCTTTGCAACCATTAATATAGTAAATTTAATTTCTGGTATTAAATTTGAAACAAACCTATACTCACCTAACATGCCATAAAGCAGTTTAACTAATAAAAGATTCTGGCTCATTAGTAGTTCGTGAGAAATTTAGCTCAAAACTCTGAAAGATTAATCTAGTGATCGTGTCAGAGTGAATGTTTTCTTTTGTGATGCTGGGGATCAAACCAAGTGGCTCCAGCATATGCTCCTTCAGCAAGCTACAATCCCAGTCCAAAGTAGGCGTATTTCACAAAAGCCAAGTACAGGTAAATTATGCTTCAAATTCACTTTGAAGTTCTTTATATATTTAGAGAATTAAATTAGTTATAAATGCTCTAAGTATGTATACAAGAGTTCTATATAATTGCATTTCGTATAAGCTATAAATAGGAACAAAGCTTTTAAAATTTTCTCTCTAATCAGAACTAAAAACATTTTATCTTATTAAATTTCTTTTAGAGACACATATTATACATATTTTTATTTAAATTTGTTTCAAACTTATGTTCAGAAGACAGTATTTTTAAATTTAATGGCAAATACTATCACCTCTTTAAAGTTCTGAAGTATAGTAAGTTTCTTATGAAAAAACAACATTGGCACTGGCTTTATAGTTACAATTAAAATTTATTTCCTACCAATACCTTTATATGAAAAATCTTAATGTAATAAATTCTCAATTCCCAGAAATCAAAATAGCAAAAGATGAAAAAATTTATAAATATTCTGAGGTACATTAAAGGAGACCTGCTCTGTAGTGGCATAATTGTAACACGAGAGTAACTTTTTATATTTAAATATTAGTATTGGAGAGCACCTGACAACATAATTCAAACAACATTTAAATCTCAATACACTTATTCTTTTAGCGAATGTACAGATAACTGGATCAATTTTCCATTCAATGAAACATTTTTTTCATATGTCAGAGAAGTAAATGTCGATTAAATAACATAAACAATTTGTCCCCTGAATTAATATATAGTTAGAAATTTAACTTTCTGGCAACAACTTTATTAGTGGAGTACATTCCTAAAATGATGAAAATAAATTTTCTTTATTATTATTTTTTTTTGGTATTGAACCCAGGGCCTTACACATGCATACCTATTTTAAAAATATTTTAGATGTTGATAGACCTTTATTTTATTTACTTATTTATATGTGGTGCTGAGAATTGAACCCAGTGCCTCAAGAGCTCTACCACTGAGCCACAACCCCAGCCCTACATACCTATTTTTAAAAGATGACATCAAATCACTAAATTGGAAGTACAGTATATTAATAGAATGAAGACTAAATGAAATCATAAGTTTCTTGACTTCTCTTAACCTCTATTTTTCCTTTTAAATAAGGGAGCAGAGGTCCAGATGTCCTCCAAGATATCTTCCAGCTATGAACTTCATTTAGTTATCCACCTAATTGTTCTTAATAAATAATTACATTTTCCAAATGACTTAAACCAGCAATATTCTCACATAAGTAGCAAGCAAAATATGGAAAATCATAGTTACAATAATTTTTTTTTTCTGTAGCAGGGATTGAACTCAGGGGCACTCAACCACTACGCATCCCCAGTCCTTTTTTGTATTTTTATTTAGAGACAGTTTCAGTGAGTTGCTTTTTGCTGAGGCTGGCTTTGAACCTGTTGTGATCCTACTGCCTCAGCCTTCTCAGCTGCTGGGATTATAGACACGTGCCACTATGCCCAGATAGAATGGATTTTATTAAAATATTATTTAAATAGTTTAATATTTTAAAATTAAAGTATAAATCCATAATTGGAATACATAAAATACTAGAAAAAAAATGTTTTTAAATATCCACAACCTTACCAACAGATGATTCTGCAAATATTTACAATAATTTTCATTTTTTAAGTCTTTGTATATCTTTTTAAAACTGATTGTTGTTCATGCTGTGTGAATATGTATATAGTTTTTTCCTCAAACTTTTACATACTGAATTTACTTAATAGCATGCTAAAGATTAAAATATTACAAGATTAAAATATTACCTTAAAATTCTTTAAAATACATAATCATATGTGGAGAAGCTATCTGATTGATAATAAAAATTGATTTTAATGTTTAAATAAATCATACTGAAATAGCATCCTTTTTTCTCTGTGTAAAGGATTCATTTACATAAATTCCTAAGTGAATAGAATCAAATAAAAATTTGATACATAATGAATTGTTTTCCCGAAGAGTTGCATAAAATCATAATGACACCAGTAATGCCCAATGGTTCTTGTTGTACCTGTCTTCATCAGTCCTGCAGTATTTTATTTACTTTATACTTTTGTTAATTAGGTAGAGAAATAAAAATCTCTCCTTTAAAAATTTCATTCGTGGACTGGGGATAGGTCAGTGGTACAGTGCTTGCCTAGCATATGTGAGACTGAGGATTCAATCTCCAACATAATATTTTCTTTCTCTCACTCACACAAAAGCCAATAAAATTCATTTGCTATTAGCATCAAAGTTGGAAAAACCTTTTCTTCTTATGCAAATGTTTCCCCATTTGTTGTTGCTGTTGTTTCCTGACTAGGTACATGGAGATAAAATAAAAATATTCTTTTACATTGTCCTAGGAGCAACCATGTCAGAGATGCCAGAGTTAACTCTGTTCTCTTAACTGGGAATTCTCCTGGGGCATCAGAGAAGGAAAAGTATTACTTTCTATGAATTATAATGCATTCCGCTGTCATTTATTTAAAAAAAAATCAATAAAAAATATCAAACTAAAAATGCTAAAAAGAAGTCGCATAAAAGAAATATGTCTATTTTCCAAAAGACTTTAGCTCTAATGTTCCAATTCACATTATTATCTTTTTAAAAAAAATTTAGTTGTAAATGGACACAATACCTTTATTTATTTTTATGTGGTGCACAGGATGGAACCCAGTGCCTCACAGGTGCTGGGCAAGTGCTCTACCACTGAGCTATACAACTCTAGCCCTCATACTATTATCTTTTAAAACACCAAAGTAGAACCATAACACAATTAAAAGACACTATAAAGAAAAGTGACTTCAATAAAACTCTTCTAATTTTCTTATACATATTCAATAGTTAATAAATTTTGAATTATAAAGGTACTATTCTATTTATATAGAATTTGTGATTATATTATCATAATTTACCTTTACCCATAGCTTTCAAAGGTAAATGTTGGAAATATCTTCATAAGACACAAGCTTATTTTACTTATTTGCTATCTCAATCTACTATAAAAATTAAGAATAGCCTAATTATTGGAGATGCCTGATGACTATGTATATATAGAACAAAAATAAAAGTGGGCTGTAGCTCAGTGGCAGAGCACTTGCCTAGCATGCGTGAGGCACTGGGTTTGATCCTCAGCACCATGTAAAAAATAAATATATAAACAAATAAAATAAAGGCATTCTGTCCATCTACAACTACAAAAAAATTTTTAAAGTGTTTAAAAAATAAATATATACAAGTGAATGCCAACTGATACAGGTATACTAACTATTTTATACAAAAAAACCTGACAATGCCAAGGAAGGGATATATATTTTTGTTGAATAAGGTCCTTCCTGCTGACCAAAATTCAAAACAATAGTTTCAAGTATGATGATGACAAATATATACAATGGTAAAAAAAATATGATATAAACTGAAGAAAGCAGAATATAAAGTTATACACACTATGTAATTTAGATAAATTAAAAAATCTTACACATTAAGACAACACTGAAAAGAAAATCATTAAGATGTTAAAATTACTAGGTCTGGGTGGCAATAATATGGGTAGTTTTTTTCTTCTTACCTGTTATTTTCAAATTTTTCTTTAACTTGAATTAGATTGTTTACTATAAAAAGTACTAATCTATGCATTTTATAAGAAATAGTGATCAGTAATTGGTATATATATATATATATATTGTTTTTTGGAATCCTCAAGAGTAAGAAAATCTACTACAGATAAAAATCTATGCACAAAATGACTTCCTTTTGAATAAATGTCATCCTAAAGTAGCTAATTTCATTTTGGGGGAATAGTAATTTTTCTGTTAAAAAACCCCATAATTTCTCTTACTACCTTCTGAGTACTTCTTTCATCCTCATCTTCAGATGGATCTGACTGATGTTTGGGGCTATCCATTTGAAGGAATGCTCTGACATCTGGACTAAAAACAAAAATTAATTTTATTATGAGCTTGAAAGCATGTCTAGAGACTTTCTCCACTTTAAAAATCAAAATAGAAACCACTATTTTAGCATTTATAACAAGAAAGCTAAGCAAAATGTATTAAAATTCTTTATTGTATAAAGGAATAATTAAATTAACTTTTTAATAAACAGGGACCACAACAAATATCAAAAATATAATCAGTTCATAGAAGAGGAAACCCAAACACCAAGCAAATTGTGAAGATGCTAACTTTACTATGAAATCAGAGAAATACAAATTAAATGATTATGAAGTAACACTTTATATTCATTAACTGGCAAAAGTTAGAAAGATAATAATATCAAGTTGGTAAGAGCCAAGACAGTGGTGAATGCCTGTGATCCCAGTGCTTGGGAGGCTGAGGCAGGAGGATTGCGAGTTCAAAGCCAGCCTCAGCAAAAGCGAGGTGCTAAGCAACTCAGTGAGACCCTGTCTCTAAATAAAATACAAAATAGGTCTGGGGAAGTGGCTTATTGGTCAAGTGCTCCTGAATTCAATTCCTGGTATGCACCCCACAAAATAAAAGTTGAAAAGAGGAGCTGGGGTTATCTCAGTGATACAGCATTTGTATCGCACATGTAAGGCACTGGGTTCCATCCTCAGCACCATATAAAAATAAAGAAATAAAATAAAAGATATTGTGTCAATCTACAACAACAACAACAAAATATATAGAAATGTTTCAGATCAGCAGTCTTTAGAGATTAAAAAGTAGGTTAGTGGTTGCCAAGAACTGGAGGAGAAAAGAATGTGGAGGTACTCCTTTTGAGGGGTGGTAGAAACGTTACATTAAACTTGGGATGACAGTAATGATGGCTGTACATTGTGAATATATTAAAAACTACTGAATTCTACAATTTAAAATAGTTAAAATAGTGAATTCTATCTCAGTCAACAATTTTAACCAGGTATGGTGGTACACAATCCCAGCTAATAGGAGGCTGAGGCAGGAGGACTGCAAATTCAAAGTCAGCCTCAGCAACTTAGTGAGATCTGTCTCAAAATAAAAAATAAGGGGCTGAGGTTGTGGTTCAGTGGTACAGCGCTCACTTAGCACATGAGAGGCCCTGGGTTTGATCCTCAGCACCACATAAAAATAAATAAGTAAAATAAAAGTACTGTATCCATCTACAACTAAAAAATAAATATTCATAAAATAAAAAATAAAAAATAGGTAGAGGCTGGGGATATGGTTCAATGTTTAAATGCCCTTGGGTTCAATTCCTGTTAGCATTAAAAAAAAAAATAAAGGTGAGAAAAGGATCTTCAATCTTGCCTCACAGAGGCCACCACTATTAAACACTTTGGCAAACTTTAATTTGGTGTTTTTCTCTGGAAAATTTGTACTTTACTGTTTTTTACTTAAAAATTACAGCAAAAACATTTTCCTGTGTTGTTAAAAGCTCTTTGTAAACAATGAGTTTTTATAGATGTATGATGTAAAATACAAATGCACTGAAAGTTATTCAAATTTTTCCACTTTAGGATACATAGTGGCTTCCAACTTTTTACTACACAACTTTCACTACTACAAATAATGTTACAACTGACAATCTTTGTGCCAAATCCTAGAACTGAATTTATGATTTTCAGGATAGATTTTTAAAATTAAAAACACTTGGTCTAAATTATAAACAATTTTAAGACTTCAAATATAATCTGTTAAACTGATTTCCAAAGGGGCTGTACCAATTTATTCTCTCCTAACAGTATATGAACATCCTAAAAACTCTTTCAGCCTTGGTTAGCATTAAATACTAATACATTATATAAATAATTTTATATCACCAGCACAATATTTGCACATTGTGTAACAAAAGATTTGTTAATGGCATAAGAAAGGAAGGGAGGAAGCACAAAAAGGAAAAAATAATTAAGTTTAAAAAACTCTTGGCTACTTATTTTTGGGGTGCTGTTCATGTCTTCTATCCTGAATAGCATGGCAGAATTACAAGGTATACAACAGGTGTATGTTAAAAAAAAATCCATTGGTTGCATACTTACAAATTATGTGTTTTACAGTTCAATATTTTTAAAATTGGTAATTAAAAACAAAATTGTTTTTAGTTAATTTTGATGCTAAACATTAAAATCTTTATAATGGCACAGTTCAAGGGCCAGAATGAATACTCAGCATTCAGTATACAGTGTTGGAAGTTTTGACTAATACTTGCCACTGATATGCCAATTTAAAGAAATCTCCCCTGCATACAGCAAAAATTAGGGGTTGGAAGAGTAGATACAAAATGAAGACAGCATAAAACTTGTGCTAGGGAAAAGGCATAAGGTTAAAAAATATATATACAAAGAACCCAATAATAAAAGGCTCTTTGCAGAGGAATAGTCCTGACATGGGAACTCTGAGTTAAAAGAATGCTCTTCAACTTTGAAATAAAAAGCACTGTTTTTACTGCACTGGCAGTCCTGGTGCTACTACTACAAGAGCAGGACCTCCCTGAACCTTGTTCTGTGATTATTGCG